ATTGTGTTCTATTTTTATCTACGTTTTGGGTCCATTTTCTCCTTTTCTTACCTACATATTGTGCCCATTTTCTCCTATCCTATTTTGATCCTCGTACTGTGTCCATTTCAGGTTCAAAGCAAAAGATATTGAAGGATAAGTGACGTCAGAAGCCCAGTTTTGACGCCGAGCTTTCCTCTCCCGCCGAGAGATCTACCTCTTAGCTTTTACCAGAGCGCCCTTCCAACGCTGCACTTCATCTGAACTTTGACCTTGGACTTGACACGTTCAGACAGCCCGATTTATGAACTCCCTTTCACCGAGGATTTTCTTTATTTTTGCGTGTGTGGAATTGAATAGACTTCAGATAATCGGGTTAATTTTGGAATTGGTACACGTACTTCCATGACAAACAGTGGTCCGGGTCATGATAGGTCAGGAAACCTCATCGAGGTCACTAACTTGTGTCCAGCTTAGGCAGTTTGAACCGTTGAATCAGATGCATATCAGAGAAAACTGGCGCGTACGTATTTGGTGACGTCATAGTAGGTAACGAGGGAAAATGTTGAATATTTTGAAGAAAAAGTCTTACGCTTGGCTTTTCATTCAGTGAAACTCAGGTCAGAGTCTACAACATTATTTATATGATTTTATATACTCTGGATATCTAAATTAGTGAGATGGGGAAGGATGCTAGTCATTAATAACATTACTATAATAATAATTTTATATATATTATCTCCTGAAACCGTGAAAATCTTTAAGAGCCTTATAAAAGACATGTAAGGCATTTGGATTCGAAATGACACTGTGCCAGGAAGTTAAAATGCTAGTCAGGAATGACTGTGATGCAAATCTGCTAGTCATGAAAATACTATTGTCTGCTTACATGAAACAAAACAAGTTCTTACAGTTTAACAAAAAGTTATATCGATTTTACGTAATGAAAAATAGATTATATCCTATGTGCTTCAGTTTCTTGCTCCTTTTTTTCATTTTCTATCGCTTTCGCATCTTCATTCATCAAACAAAACCACATTTTACTACAACATGATGACTGAAATCTAATAGAAAGTTTCTTCGCAGTTGCAAGAAGCTTAATAGTTCGCCGGAACACAATCAGTTCAAAATATCTACAGGGAAGCTAGTTTTGCTTACTTCAATTTCTAAGAATTTCAGAATGTTTATGTTCTTTATATATATATATATATATATATATATATATATATATATATATATATATATATATATATGTATATATATATATTTCCTTTCTCTTTTCTATGCATACCCAGATGTATGTATGCTATATGAATGTATATATACATACATACATACATATATATGTTTTTGTGTATATGTGTGTATATATATATATATATATATATATATATATATATATATATATATATATATATATATATGCGCGTGTGTGTATGTATGTATATATATATATATATATATATATATATATATATATATATATATATATAAACAAGTATACTTACACATAAGGCTTCTAGTGATGCGAAGCTTTAACATCTCTCATACTCATTCATATATTTGAATCCTATGAAATGTTCATCAAAAGAATCCGCATCAGTTGATAGGGGATTTGGAGTGTTCTCGATCTACGGAGCAGTAAGTTTTGTTTCCTTATTGTGTGTGTGATGCCTTATAGAGAATACAGAGACGTGAAAAGGTGGAGACAGGAATTTCGTTTTTTTGATCGTTGATTTCCATTCCTTTGAAATGAATGTGTACATAACAACACTGCAGTCTGTATCTAAACGTGTGACAGTAGAGTAGTCTGCCATGTGCAAAAAGAAGCACGGTGTGAAATATAAATATCCTGGTTTGTGATTATGTGTTCATAGCATGAGATCAAACCGTGTGCTCATCTATTTTATAGGTTTAGATCCTTCTGGGAGGTCTCATTTAGTGCACAATTAGGTGAGGATAAAACTGTAAACAAAAGGAATTAGAACGCGTTTTATGTTCTTAGTAGTCACCTTTGCGGAAATGTGTCAGGATAATGGCTATTTACACTTTCTCTCATTTTCACTCTCTATATTTGTTCTACGAAAATGTAATGGAAACGGGACTTAAACCAAAGGTGATCTACTAAGATAAATATTTCTTTTTTTATTTTACAAAATTGTAAACTGCAGGAAGATGGATGACTCCTTTGATATCGAAAGAAATACACTTATTTTCGAAGCAATTTCGATACAAAAGTCATTTTCCTTTTTCTTTATTGGTTTCTTAATATCTACCGTTACCGTCTAGAAATAAAGATATGAAATGTGGATTGGGTTTATGTTCATCCTAGTAGCCAGTGATGGTGATTGATAACTGTAATGGTAATGATGTAATGACAAAATGCATAAAGATAAGGATAATCGTGATAATAATGGTAAACTTATGATGATAATGATAATCTTTCTCTCTCACTCTCTCTGTATATATGTATATATATATATATATATATATATATATATATATATATATATATATATAT